TTTGGTGTACCCAATACTAAAAAAAAATTCTGGGTACGCTAATTACTTTTTTTTTTTGCGTCCCTACTAAAAAAAAAATATACCTAGGTACGGTCATTTTTCTGTACCGTACTGCACCTAATACTTATTACTGTACCGTACCTTAAAAATATATACTCATATAATATAATACCTTAAAATCTTTGTTTTCTCCATTCTCTATAAATTCATCGACATATAAAAGCGCGTATCTGGCCAAATCTTTTATCCTATTGGCAACAACTTTATTAGGTTTATCAATTCCCTATATACTTCCACTATTACTATTTCCTATGAACATTAATCCGTTTTTGCAACTTCTGCTTAATCCTCTTAAATTCTTAAATTTTGTCTTAATATCTTCAACTTTATTTTCATTTGTATGGTGCTTTTGTTTTCTTCACTTAAATCCACAATCATTATTTCATTATTCCAATCCCAAAAAGTTATCAATTTCAAAACAAAAAACCCTACAAATCCATTACCAGGTCTATTCCAAGGACATGGTTCTAAATAAACTTGTGAAGATAAGCATTTAATCCACTCTTCTTCAACATGATCACTCAACAAATATGTATTAAACCATCGTTTGATAAATCGGATGGTTAATGATAAACTTGGCCATTTATTACAAAGGGTCTGAATTTGTAAAGTATGCATTGGAATTTCGATAAACATTCGTTTCTCTCTTTCTAAAGCTTTTGTATATATATCTTTTTTGAGTTGACTAAATTTCTTATCCTTGATTCCACGATCTAATAATGTCATTTCTCGTTCGTTATATATTCTACATCTGAACGCGAATTTTGAATCAGTAAGTATGTCCATATATGCCTTTGAAGTGATTGTATCGTTATTGTCTGTTACTACTGTTGCAAAATTCCTGGAAATTTAAGTTTAAATTGTGATGCTAGTTGTAAATAAAATGCTATTTTCATCTTTTGTATGGCCACAAGGTCATCAGGCCATCTTGCAGAGGGTTCAAACTGAATTACAATTTCAATTGGATCCACATAAAATGGTTTTTTTGTAGATGTGGGAGCAAGTGGTTGAGGTATAAAGATTGAAGAGTATCTTAATGCAGAACTTGCAGCTCGAATACCTGATAACCTTAATGGAATATTTTCTAATGTCATAAATTGTTTCGCTAGTTTATCATACGCTTGCATCACATTTCGAAATCCATTCTTATATTCATTTTTATTGCAAATATAATTTGGAATATTTGAAGATGGTATAACGATTTCATTTAATCGCCCTGCAAAATACTGAAGCCCTTTACCCTCCTTTATTCCATAATGAAGATAAAGTAGATATAGGACAATCCTGCTAACAATAAGAAAGCGTTCTTCAATTCCTTTAACATTCCAAACCACACATTCTAGTATACTACCATCCTTAAATCTTCGTACTTCTGCTTTCTTTCCCCATAATTTTCGAAATTGTGAAGCTGCTGTCTCATCTTCAGGTGATGGTCCATAAACTATTAATCGATTTGATTGTTCAGAGTTGAAAATAAAACCAATATATAGTTTAAAGTTTGATAATAAATATGTTTGA